GAAATTTAAGAGGAATATTTCTACATTTCAAACTTTACTAAAACATAACATAAAAAAAAGATTTAGAGTTATACCCTTTGAAAAAAATGCTTGTCTAGACTCCTCCTAGACCCTTTGGTCTCCTTCTTCTTCTTCTATGGTTTGTAGTGGCTCAAGATTGGGAGAGTAGGAGAAAATATTTGAGAAATAGTGGGGGAGTGTGGTATGGCCGGATTTTGAGGGGGAGAGAAAAGCTAGGGAAAAAAAATGAGGCTTATCCTATGGTGGTTCCTTTTATAGGCACTTGGAAATTATTTTTTTTTAACACCACATCAACTCTCTCAATCAACCAAATTTTGGTTCAATTTCCCCCAATCTTGGCCGGTTATGGAAGGAGAAAAGGAGAAGCCAAAATTGCCATTAATTCCCCTTCAACCACTACCATCCCATCACCTTAACTTGTAGCCTTCTAACACATTCAACATATAACCAAAATTTTTGGATATAACTTCCTAAGGATGGCCGGCCAAGTGAAGAGAAAAAGGAGAAAAAACTAATCATTAGTCCTATTCACCTCTCTCATCACATCTCATCAAATCACACACACTAACCTACACCTTGTACTTTTGTCCATTCCCTTAAGTTACTCATTAAAACTGTCCAAAATTATACTGACAGTTATTTTCTCTTGTATACGGGTTCTGGATGCTAGGTTGTACTGTGCTGGGAGATTCTTAAAATTAAGATTCTCTAACTGTATCTATACTGGAAATTCTTCCGTTTTAAAGTACGGTGAGAATTTATCGATCGAATTTACTTGATCGGAAAAATGTGAACTTAACGTGAAATCTGCTACAGAATTTAGGAATGCAGATGTTAATTTCATAAATCCTTCAATCACAAAATGTACATAGTATAATGATTTTCCAGGAAAATCCTTGACTCAAATATATGAATTACATTATTAAAATTCTGAGATTTTCTTAGTCACTACAATTATTACACTAAATATTTTAATTATGATTAATTTTAATATAATAAGTACACAATATATTTTTTAAATTGGAAATATCAAATTAATTTTTAAAGGGTATATTAGTACTTTTACACTTTTTTATTCCGATTCTGGATGTAAGTAAACGTATGAATGAGATTTAGAATTACTCTGATTCTGAATCCTATCACTAAAAGTAAACAGCTTATTCTGACTCTGATTCCTCACTCTGAATCTTACCCACTCCGAATCCTACCCACTCCGATTCATACTCATTCTGATTACGCATAGTGCCATAAATATACTAGACTGCGTCTAAAACGCCAACATAACCGTAAAAAGAATTAAATCCACGAAGAGGCAATTAATTTACCTGCAGACGAGACTGAATATATAAAACGACAGTATATTCAGACGAATTAAATTCGCTGACAAAAACGACAATTTGTCATATGTCATAAACGACAAGAAATTTAGACAACGGCCTAGTTACAAACAAGAAACTCAAATCAACAAAACATGTTTCGTCCGTTAAAACGGCAATGAAGCTAAGACAACAACATACCAAGAACAGCAGTAAAATTCAAGAGACCATATCTAAAACAACAGCTGACATTAGAAATTAACAAAGGACTCATGAAACGACATCAAATTAGAAACCAAAATATCAGTAAAAATACGGGGTTTTACAAAGTGGATTTTTTTTTTTTTTTTTTCAAAGGTCAATAGACAACAAGATATGTAGGCCTAGAATTAGTTATATGCGAATTTGTGTCTTGTGGTATCGGTTGGAAAAAAATAGTGCCGCGTTATAAAAATATTTTTATTATTTATCTAATTAATTTGTTTATTTTTTAGGTTCAAGAAGCAAACTGGGAGCTGTACAAGAAACAAAGAGCAGCAGGTACGGATTTGTACCGTGACCAACAAGCTGCTTAGGCACAAAAAGGCAAATGCAACAAGTCGCGGAAAACGAGCTCTATACCAAGAAGAAAGAAGCTGAAGGAATCGCCGCGATGGTTGAAGCCGAAAGATTGGTACTTGAACACCCTCATGAAGCACCTGGGAGGGAACTACTTGGCATCAGTATATCAGACAAGATCCCTTTGCAAGGCTAGTACTTTTACTACTAAATTACTTTACTACCTATTCTAAGACACATTCTTTAGTTTGATCAATCATATTTTCGGAATTGATTAGTATTTATGAATGATAAGTATAAATGATCCACTCCACTTGATTTTCAGATCACCCTTTTTAGTTTACATAATATAAGAGGAAATATACAAACAATAATTTGATGACAAATTGCCCATCAGATCCCAATTGAACATAAAAAAAAACAAAGATGAATTATAACTATTGCATGCCATCTAAGTAGTAAGAGCACACAACACTTAATTTGTTATTTCTAATGTGTGTTTAGAGCATATGCATATAATGAACAAATAGTTTCTAGTAGGATTCTAGTAATGGGTTGAGAAGGAGCTTGTCTTCTACTAGATAAAATTGTTGAGTCAGCAAGTCCAGATTCAATTCAAGCGTTTGAATGAGGTTGAGCAGGCCATCTTTCTCGTCCGGAAGGAAGATGTACTTGGAAAATTTGCGAGGATCTTGACCACTTTGGTAGGGGATTTCAACTACCTTAAAACCATCAAAGCATTTGTACTGATGTTCCACATCTTTTTTGGTGGTCATGAAAGGGGCTCGAACGGTTTGGCCGTTGAGAAGGTGAAAGTCTCTCGGTTCAGTCCTTGAAGGATCAAATTTTGATCCCATGATCCTTTGAAGTAGAGGGCATTTGCAAGGACAAGTAGAGTTCTACTGTCTAAGGATCCAGGTGGAAGGACTTGCTTTATTAGTCCTTTGGTTGCTTTTTCAGCCCAGGAATTCACTTCAGCTACCGCTTCATCAGCCTTCAGGAATTAGCACAAAACAAGTCAAAATTGAAAACTTACAAATCTTATGCCCCCTCCCCCCAAATATATATATATATA